TGTAACATCGAAATGAGCTTATATCTTGAAAAAGTCAATAATTAAAAAAATGACATTGTATTTTGTGAACGAATGACATTTTTAAAGAAATAAGCTCATCCTGATGTTATACTCATCGAGCCCTTTCATTTGTGTACCCACATCAATTTTTTATATATTTATATATATTATATATATATGTATATTTAAAAAATATATCAAAAATGCATGTGGGTACTCAAATAAAAGCTCTTGATGAGTGTAACATCGGGATGAGCTTATGTCTTTAAAAACGTCACTATTTAAGAAAGTACAGTGCAATTTAACAAAAGTCATTATTTAATAAAGTAAAATTCTATTGATTTATTGATAAGAAATTAATTACAATTAAAAAGAAATACTTGAAAAAATTCCACTTATTATTTTCTTTAGTTTTTACACGTGGAATTTTTTTTATTAAATATAAAAAAAAATTCAAAATTTATAAAATTTTTCTATTAAATAATTTTTAATAAGATAATTAAAAAAATTACTATTAAATTTTCCTTAAAGTTACGCTAGTAATAAAAAATAATTATTAAAAAATTGACAAGTATATTAATAAATAATTTATTTTCAGAATCAATATCAAGGAAACAATCAGTATCAAGGAAAGAATTATTACCAAGGAAGAAATCAATACCAAGGAAAAAAAGAGACTAGTATCCATAATTACATAGATCAATCATTTTTTGAAGACCCTTGGGCTGAGCTGGTGACCGAGTTTGACAGTCTTAATCAAAGCTCTAGTACTGACAAGTTCGATGACAGTTTCATGTCCCAGAGTCTTTTGGAAGATAGTATGTTAAAAGACGAGGAAGATGATTTGAATGACAAGGAAAGCGGGTCCGATTGCAAAGACGCGGATTCGCAGGACGAAATTTTTCCGATGTCGCAAGAGGATTCTGATCCTATTCAAGAAAATTTTGGAGAAGATAGAAGCAGTGGATGATGACAACGTTAATTATATAATCTCTTCAATAAGACTTTAATAAGGCTGTGATGAGATTACGGTGTATATATTGCCAATACGTGCAATTACATCCAAATATGTACATACAAATATTTTTGTAGTGGAAAATTGACTCATATTTTGGCAATTTACTTTTTTTTTTATAAAAAAAAAAGTATTTCTTTTTAATAATTTCACCTCAAAATTTTTGATTCAATTATTTGGATAAAGTTCTTTTTTTATCAATGTGTAATTAATTTACTCAGCAATAAATGTAAATATTAGTTTGTAAGTTTATAAATAAATAATTACTTAAATTTACAATTTTTATTTCTTCTTATAGCTTCAATTTATTTTAAAGAAGAAGTTTAAATATTTTTTAAGTTAAAAAATTAACTTTCTGGTATTTTAGCAATTTAACTTTTTTTTTAGCAAAAAAAAAGTATTTCTTCTTTTTAATAATTTGACCTCAAAATTTTTGATAAATTTTTCATCAATGTGTAATTTACTCAGCAATAAATGTAAATATTAGTTTGTAAGTTTATAAATAAATAATTACTTAAATTTAAAATTTTTATTCCTTCTTAAAGCTTTAATTTTTTTTTTTAAAGAAGAAATACAAATATTTTTGTAGAAGAAAATTAACTTTCTCGTATTTTGACAATTTATTTTTTTTTACAAGGAAAATGATTATTTCTTCTTTTTAAAAATTTCACTTTAAAATTTGTATTTTCTCTTAAAGCTTCAATTTTTTTAAAGAAGAAATACAAATATTTTTGTAGAAGAAAATTAACTTTCTCGTATTTTGACAATTTATTTTTTTTTACAAGGAAAATGATTATTTCTTCTTTTTAAAAATTTCACTTTAAAATTTGTATTTTCTCTTAAAGCTTCAATTTTTTTAAAGAAGAAATACAAATATTTTTGTAGAAGAAAATTAACTTTCTCGTATTTTGACAATTTATTTTTTTTTACAAGGAAAATGATTATTTCTTCTTTTTAAAAATTTCACTTTAAAATTTGTATTTTCTCTTAAAGCTTCAATTTTTTTAAAGAAGAAATACAAATATTTTTGTAGAAGAAAATTAACTTTCTCGTATTTTGACAATTTATTTTTTTTTACAAGGAAAATGATTATTTCTTCTTTTTAAAAATTTCACTTTAAAATTTGTATTTTCTCTTAAAGCTTCAATTTTTTTAAAGAAGAAATACAAATATTTTTGTAGAAGAAAATTAACTTTCTCGTATTTTGACAATTTATTTTTTTTTACAAGGAAAATGATTATTTCTTCTTTTTAAAAATTTCACTTTAAAATTTGTATTTTCTCTTAAAGCTTCAATTTTTTTAAAGAAGAAATACAAATATTTTTGTAGAAGAAAATTAACTTTCTCGTATTTTGACAATTTATTTTTTTTTACAAGGAAAATGATTATTTCTTCTTTTTAAAAATTTCACTTTAAAATTTGTATTTTCTCTTAAAGCTTCAATTTTTTTAAAGAAGAAATACAAATATTTTTGTAGAAGAAAATTAACTTTCTCGTATTTTGACAATTTATTTTTTTTTACAAGGAAAATGATTATTTCTTCTTTTTAAAAATTTCACTTTAAAATTTGTATTTTCTCTTAAAGCTTCAATTTTTTTAAAGAAGAAATACAAATATTTTTGTAGAAGAAAATTAACTTTCTCGTATTTTGACAATTTATTTTTTTTTACAAGGAAAATGATTATTTCTTCTTTTTAAAAATTTCACTTTAAAATTTGTATTTTCTCTTAAAGCTTCAATTTTTTTAAAGAAGAAATACAAATATTTTTGTAGAAGAAAATTAACTTTCTCGTATTTTGACAATTTATTTTTTTTTACAAGGAAAATGATTATTTCTTCTTTTTAAAAATTTCACTTTAAAATTTGTATTTTCTCTTAAAGCTTCAATTTTTTTAAAGAAGAAATACAAATATTTTTGTAGAAGAAAATTAACTTTCTCGTATTTTGACAATTTATTTTTTTTTACAAGGAAAATGATTATTTCTTCTTTTTAAAAATTTCACTTTAAAATTTGTATTTTCTCTTAAAGCTTCAATTTTTTTAAAGAAGAAATACAAATATTTTTGTAGAAGAAAATTAACTTTCTCGTATTTTGACAATTTATTTTTTTTTACAAGGAAAATGATTATTTCTTCTTTTTAAAAATTTCACTTTAAAATTTGTATTTTCTCTTAAAGCTTCAATTTTTTTAAAGAAGAAATACAAATATTTTTGTAGAAGAAAATTAACTTTCTCGTATTTTGACAATTTATTTTTTTTTACAAGGAAAATGATTATTTCTTCTTTTTAAAAATTTCACTTTAAAATTTGTATTTTCTCTTAAAGCTTCAATTTTTTTAAAGAAGAAATACAAATATTTTTGTAGAAGAAAATTAACTTTCTCGTATTTTGACAATTTATTTTTTTTTACAAGGAAAATGATTATTTCTTCTTTTTAAAAATTTCACTTTAAAATTTGTATTTTCTCTTAAAGCTTCAATTTTTTTAAAGAAGAAATACAAATATTTTTGTAGAAGAAAATTAACTTTCTCGTATTTTGACAATTTATTTTTTTTTACAAGGAAAATGATTATTTCTTCTTTTTAAAAATTTCACTTTAAAATTTGTATTTTCTCTTAAAGCTTCAATTTTTTTAAAGAAGAAATACAAATATTTTTGTAGAAGAAAATTAACTTTCTCGTATTTTGACAATTTATTTTTTTTTACAAGGAAAATGATTATTTCTTCTTTTTAAAAATTTCACTTTAAAATTTGTATTTTCTCTTAAAGCTTCAATTTTTTTAAAGAAGAAATACAAATATTTTTGTAGAAGAAAATTAACTTTCTCGTATTTTGACAATTTATTTTTTTTTACAAGGAAAATGATTATTTCTTCTTTTTAAAAATTTCACTTTAAAATTTGTATTTTCTCTTAAAGCTTCAATTTTTTTAAAGAAGAAATACAAATATTTTTGTAGAAGAAAATTAACTTTCTCGTATTTTGACAATTTATTTTTTTTTACAAGGAAAATGATTATTTCTTCTTTTTAAAAATTTCACTTTAAAATTTGTATTTTCTCTTAAAGCTTCAATTTTTTTAAAGAAGAAATACAAATATTTTTGTAGAAGAAAATTAACTTTCTCGTATTTTGACAATTTATTTTTTTTTACAAGGAAAATGATTATTTCTTCTTTTTAAAAATTTCACTTTAAAATTTGTATTTTCTCTTAAAGCTTCAATTTTTTTAAAGAAGAAATACAAATATTTTTGTAGAAGAAAATTAACTTTCTCGTATTTTGACAATTTATTTTTTTTTACAAGGAAAATGATTATTTCTTCTTTTTAAAAATTTCACTTTAAAATTTGTATTTTCTCTTAAAGCTTCAATTTTTTTAAAGAAGAAATACAAATATTTTTGTAGAAGAAAATTAACTTTCTCGTATTTTGACAATTTATTTTTTTTTACAAGGAAAATGATTATTTCTTCTTTTTAAAAATTTCACTTTAAAATTTGTATTTTCTCTTAAAGCTTCAATTTTTTTAAAGAAGAAATACAAATATTTTTGTAGAAGAAAATTAACTTTCTCGTATTTTGACAATTTATTTTTTTTTACAAGGAAAATGATTATTTCTTCTTTTTAAAAATTTCACTTTAAAATTTGTATTTTCTCTTAAAGCTTCAATTTTTTTAAAGAAGAAATACAAATATTTTTGTAGAAGAAAATTAACTTTCTCGTATTTTGACAATTTATTTTTTTTTACAAGGAAAATGATTATTTCTTCTTTTTAAAAATTTCACTTTAAAATTTGTATTTTCTCTTAAAGCTTCAATTTTTTTAAAGAAGAAATACAAATATTTTTGTAGAAGAAAATTAACTTTCTCGTATTTTGACAATTTATTTTTTTTTACAAGGAAAATGATTATTTCTTCTTTTTAAAAATTTCACTTTAAAATTTGTATTTTCTCTTAAAGCTTCAATTTTTTTAAAGAAGAAATACAAATATTTTTGTAGAAGAAAATTAACTTTCTCGTATTTTGACAATTTATTTTTTTTTACAAGGAAAATGATTATTTCTTCTTTTTAAAAATTTCACTTTAAAATTTGTATTTTCTCTTAAAGCTTCAATTTTTTTAAAGAAGAAATACAAATATTTTTGTAGAAGAAAATTAACTTTCTCGTATTTTGACAATTTATTTTTTTTTACAAGGAAAATGATTATTTCTTCTTTTTAAAAATTTCACTTTAAAATTTGTATTTTCTCTTAAAGCTTCAATTTTTTTAAAGAAGAAATACAAATATTTTTGTAGAAGAAAATTAACTTTCTCGTATTTTGACAATTTATTTTTTTTTACAAGGAAAATGATTATTTCTTCTTTTTAAAAATTTCACTTTAAAATTTGTATTTTCTCTTAAAGCTTCAATTTTTTTAAAGAAGAAATACAAATATTTTTGTAGAAGAAAATTAACTTTCTCGTATTTTGACAATTTATTTTTTTTTACAAGGAAAATGATTATTTCTTCTTTTTAAAAATTTCACTTTAAAATTTGTATTTTCTCTTAAAGCTTCAATTTTTTTAAAGAAGAAATACAAATATTTTTGTAGAAGAAAATTAACTTTCTCGTATTTTGACAATTTATTTTTTTTTACAAGGAAAATGATTATTTCTTCTTTTTAAAAATTTCACTTTAAAATTTGTATTTTCTCTTAAAGCTTCAATTTTTTTAAAGAAGAAATACAAA